TATACTGACTATCAGAAAATAAATTAAATACAGAATTTTTAAACATCACAAAAGCTTGAAATATTGCATTAAGCTCTACCTTTTGAGCTGATTGTTTGGGTACTAAAAGTGTAAAAGTTTGATCAGGGGTAACTATTGCTGGTGTACCATTATTTGACCCATCAGTGAATATATTTGGAGCATTCATGATAGGTGTTTTTCTTGTCATTTTTGGAAAAATTACAGCATGCGATGACCAAAAAAGACAATAAAGGAGTAGATGGTAAGTGGTTATCAAATGAAACATTAGATTTGCACATGATTATTGCCCAAGTATTTAACTCATTAGCTAATTCATCAATTTGATTCATAGTATATGGAGTAATAATTTTAATAGGAGAAATCCCAAACACTCCCTTTGCTGCTTTTATTCCTTTGAGTATTAATTGGTGCTGATAACCCCAAGGTCGTGGGTTTGTTCCCCCGAACGGGCCACCAAATGCTGCAGTCTGGCTGAGCACAATTCAGGAGCCACTTGTCAAAAGAAATGAACTTTTTTAGAACCACACAGGCCAAACAAAACAGCTCCTCAGGAAAAACCCTCAGAGCCCAGGTGCCACCACCGGCTTCCCACAAACCTCTCCCCAAAACCACAAGCCTCTCCACCTCCCACAATCCTCCTGGTCTTGAGGCCGATTGGCTGGGTCATGTGGGCGGAGCCAAAAAAGTCCCCCAGTGAGCAGCTCCGTGGTCTGAAAGGGCAGGGAAACAGCCCAAGGAGCATCACCGCAGAGGAGCCAATCAGCTAGATGTTGCTGGGGCCGCTGTGAGCCAATCATCAGCCGGCAGCTGAAGTTTGCTGGCAGCTGGAAGTTGGCTGGGGCCCCTTCGGCTGTGGCTGTCAACACTGAGGCATTTCAGCAGGCCAGTTAAGGAGGCAGACATGTGCAGGGCTCTTCAGGGAATGGTGAGTGTTGCTGTAAGGCAGACTATATGAAGGAGAATGGTGCTGAGAATTTAACAGTAGATTGTGATCTGAGGGTGATAGATCCCTGGGTGGTAAGTTACAGACTTCTACTTGGTTCTGAATGACTTAAATATGAATTTGGTAGTGGCAATAAAGTCACCACATGCTACCCCAAGCATCTTTAATCTACATATTCCATTCAACACAAGAACATGGTGCTGTTAGCCTACTCAGAAGTGTGTGTCTTTCTCATTAGGAGTTCCAGGTTGGTACTAAACAATCACATGTTTTCACATGGTCCCCATGTTATTAACAGAAGAGTGACTGGGACAGCAAGTACAATTTGTACCTAGCACAGAATTCTACTCATGAGAAATTAATTGGCCTGCCTAGGGGTGAACTTCATTTGAGTTCCTGGCCTCATTAGCTCTCTAGTCAGCCAACAGAGTTAGAATCTAAATGAAATTGCCATCTGTCTAGATAAAAATTGAAAAGCTCAAAGGAGCATATACATTTTCCAATATATAGTAATTATTGACTCTCTCTCTCTCTCTCTCTCTCTCTCTCTCTCTCTCTCTCTCTCTCTTTGGTACCAGAGATTAAACCCAGGGGTGTTTATCCACTGAGTCACATTCCCAGGGCTTTTTATGTTTTATTTTAAAACAGAGTCTCAGGAGTTGCTTAGGGCCTTGCTAAGTTGCTGAGGCTGGCTTTGCACTTGTAGTCTTCCTGCCTCAGCCTTCTGAATCGATGGCATTACAGGTGGGACCCATCACGCCTGGCTATTATTGACTCCCATTTTTTTTTATTTTCTTCTTTAAAAAGCCATTTGAATCCTAAAGATATAACTCAGTAGTAGAGCACTTGCCTAGTATGAGCAAGACCCCAGGTTCAATCCCCATTTTTGCAAGAAAAAAAATCATTTGAAATTTAATTCTTCTTATTTACAGGGGATCTTAAATCTAAGAACATAACTTAGAGTACAGTTCATAGCATATGACTTCATTAATGTTGTTGATATTTTGATCTCTTTAGATCCATACATCTTTTTACATCATGATTATTACTGGTCAACAAAGATACTAGTTTTTTTTTTTATAAAACTTAGCTGATATTTATAAAAAAAATTTCTCCATGCATAGGTGATGTAAAGTACCAAAATTATTTAACTGAGTGCTAAATTTTGGTACTTTATATCACCTAATCTTTTTGACAACTTTGCAAGATATTCATTGTTAGCCCTCTATTTTAGTCAGCTTTTTTTTTTTTTTTTTGATGGTGCTGGGGATTGAATTCAGGGCCTTGTGCATGCAAGGCAAGCACTCTGCCAACTGAGCTATATCCCCAGCCCTTTAGTCAGCTTTTGCATTGCCATGACCAAAATATCTAACAAGAGCAACTTAGAGAAGGAAAAGTTTATTTTAAGCTCATGGTTTCAGAGGTCTCAGTCCACAGAGGGTTGATTCCATTGCCCTGAGCGCAAGGTAAGGCAGCACATAATGGGGGAAGGGCATGGCAGAGGGAAAATGCTCCCCTCATAGCACCCAGGAAGACAGGGCACCTTCCAGAGCGTACCCCCAGTGACCCATCTCCTCTAGTCGTGCCCCACCCGCCTTCATTTAAGCACCCAGTCAGGCCATTCAAACTAGAATGGACTAAATAGGTTATAGCTCTCATAATCATTTTACCAATAAATATTCCTGCATTATCAGAAGCTTTTTACATTCCAACAATAGCACCCTCTTTCTACAGATGAGGTAAAGCATTGCCTCTCACATGTGAGGGTCAAAGCTGGGTTTCTATGCTTATGCTTTAGAGCCTGGCTCTGAGCCCAGTCCTCCCTGTGCTAAGGGTACATGTGTAATACCAAAGGACCAAGTCACTTAGAGTTAAATGGATTCCAGGGCACTTCTAGTTCATGTTACTAATAAAATAAATCTGTTAGCTATGAAAGGCTTTTGTGTTTTTTTTTTTTAACTATCAAACTAGTTACCATAGAATGAGCTGAGTATTGCTTCTTTAGTCTAGTAGTACTAGCCCCCAGGTTGTCTTCCAGTATTTTTTCCATTTATTAAAATTAAAAATATTGTAAATGTCAATTAATGTAACATGATTTTGCCCCCTGCCCCATAAACTCCTTATGGACCATTCATAGCATTCTTAAAAATCTTAGAGATACTATTCACTGATTAAAATCAGATTTTACAGCTGGGCATGGTGGCACACACTTGTATTCCCAGTGGCTCTGGAGGTTGAGGCAGGAGGATTGCAAAGCCAGCATTAGCAACTTAGGAAAGCCCTAGGTAACTTAGTGAGACCCTATCTCAAAATAAAAAGGTCTAGGGATGTGGATTAGTAGTTAAGCATCCCTGGGCTCAATCCCCAGTCCAAAAAAGAAAAAAAAATAGATTTTACAAATTATTTCATTTGAGCATTCCATAATCCCATGTATTACTTGTTTTATGTGGTTCTGATGATAGATTCAAAACCATTACGAACTATTGTTATTATCAGCCTTTTTCCAGATTTATCAGTGGTTGCAGTGATGCAGTGATATAAGTCATCCCTTAAGATGTCTTTGAACAGAACTACTAAACTACTTCTCATCACAGTTTAATTTCAATAAAAAATTTTCCCCCCAAAACCCATGTCATTAATCCTTCAGCCATACCAAAGAGAAGAGGGAGTTTTTATAAGCCCAGATATTTAGTGTAGTTAAAATTTAGGGTATGTGAATGTTTCTGGACTTAATAGATCTTTGGATCAAAGAAATTTTAATTTAAAACAGACAAAAATTTTGCATGTTAACAAACCTAGAATTGCAGGTAAACTTTGAGGAATTTACCTAGAAAATCTCATGAAAAGCTAGTTTAGAAAATCCTATGAAAATCTAGTAGATAAGCAAAGAAATTTATCATAGTTCTTAAAAGAGCCCCAGCCTGGAAGGCTGCACAGCCACCCTTTCTCTGCTCTGCCGCTCCCACCCCAGGAAGTGACTATTACTTCCCTCCTTGGGAGTCATTTCTGGTTCAGTTTTTCCTCGCCCCTCACCTGTGTTAAATGCCACTCCTTTAAGCTCCAGCTTCGTTCCCAGCCCTCTCAGCCTGTGCTGCCACAGGAACATGCCTCCCCTCTAACGTAAGCAGCCTGAGCACAAGACTTACCTCCTGCATCCTTCTATCCCAGTGGCTGGTGCATGTCCGTGGGTGCTCAGGTAATGGTTGTGAGACTGGATGAGTTCTAAAGTCTGACCTCTTCAGCTTTTCTGTTGTATGAGAACACAACCAGTTCTTGCCTTCCACTTGTGAAGTTAGCTTATGTAGCATCCTGTCAACTGGAAATCATTGTAGTTTATGAGGAATTTAGTTTGGATTCCAGCTACATTTCCCCGAGCTGTCTGACTTTGGGTAAGGCACTGAATTAGTTTCTCTAGGCTTTGGTCTTGAATCTTTTCAGTGACAGATTTAATCAGATGATCTCGATGTTTCAATAAAGTTGCAAAGCTGTGTGGTCTACAGGCAGAGTAGCATAGGAAAAGACAAGTCAGCTGACAGGTGGAGCTGAGCCCCTCCCAACTAAGTGATGATTAACCCAGAAGCCTGTGTTTACCAAGTGTTTGTACATATCCCAGGTATCTTGGAGATTTATGTATATGATGTGCCAGGGGCAGAATGATGCTGAAGTAACTTGGAATTATAAAGATTAAATTATGTTGGTATAATTTGTATTAATTATATTTTGCTGTGTCCTCATATGAAAATTGGTTATTTGCGTGTGGTATACAGGATCATTAGGATATAACATTAAACTAATCAAGATACTCCATATCTTCATCATCCTGGTTAATGAAGTATTTTGGATAGCTACATCTTGAAAAGTTTGTATTATACTCAGGAAAGATAATTTTAAATATGTTTAATGTTGGTCAGTGTTGCTTCAATAAGATTAGTAAATAAGTGCAAAACAATATCAACAATCTAAACTTTCACCTTTTTGATATTTTTTCAAGAATTCGGAGTCTTGATATTTGTTCCTTTTTATCATATACTTTCAGCTCACTTAGAAGCTAGCTTTGAGGAAGTAGAAAACCACCTGCTGCATCTGGAGGATTTGTGTGGGCAGTGTGAGTTAGAAAGGTACAAACATACGCAGTCCCAGCACCTGGAGAATTACAAGAAAAGTAAGAGGTGAGTTTGAAAAATTTGCCATAGTATTCATTTTTAATCTTAAAGTTTTCCACACTGCTTCACATGCTATTCTTTATAAGTGCAGACTGACAAAAGACATATGTTTCAACATGTAAAGCTCATTTATAGATAAGGTTTCCAAAACTTTTCTTTTTTTTAAGCCACTGTCTATTGCTATTTTATGAAGATGAGTTCAAAAGGCTCAGGATAGACAAAACATGTATTTTCAGTGTGGAGTTGGAGGACAGCAGAGCAAAGGACAAAGTTTTCAACAATATAGGAGCCCTGGACTCTTTCCTTCCAATGGCAAATGGCTGAGCTGCTGTCTCCTTCCTTCCTTTTCCTTGAGTTAGTAGAGCTGGAGGAAAAAAACTGAGCACAGGCTGTGGAGAGGGGCTAGCTGGCTGGCTGAATCTTGCTGTCACATTAGAGCCATGGAACCACAGGCAAATTAATCTCCCTTGTCATCAGTGTTACTGATTTGTAATGTGGATAATAATGTATCCTTCTCAAAGAGTTGTGAGGCTTAAGTGAGGAAATTGTTATTTAATTCAGTTAGAGCTCTGTATTCCTTATAATGATTGTATCAGCAGGCCAACCTGAAATGGAAATGAAGGAGAAACCTGAGGGTTACAGCTTGCTAAAGCAGCTGTTGCAGGCCCACAGCAGCCATCTCAGATAGGGCTAGAAGGTGCAGGGTGGTGTTCTCTGAAGTTCATGGGGAGGTCCATCTGTAGTGCTGGTGAGAGGGCACAGGCTGGCTGTTGTGTTTGCTCAGCACAGCAGGAACTAAAGCTGCAAGGTGGGTATTTAGAAGGGAGAAAACACTTATGTGACTGGGGTCTGACTGAGGCTGAAAAGTAGATTTGGTGGAAGAACACAGAAACATAGGTTGAATAGAGTTCACTGTTAGACTTAAGATTATTAAGTTGAGTGGTTCTGGGTCTAGCCGGTGGCAGTGGGAGGATTGGGTTGCTGATGTGAACAGAAGGCACTGGTCACTGACAAATATTTTAACAGAAAAGCAAAAGCCTAATGTGTGAAATCAGTGGATTATCACATTGCTGTTAGAGTTTCTAGAATGATGTCAGGGGATGTGGCAGAGCAGAAAATAGTGATTTTGTGTCAGAGTTCTTCATCAAGTCCATGTGTCCTTAGGGATGTGTCTTAAATGTTAATGAGCTGAAAGAATCATCTGGGGAGAGAGTTTAAAATGTAGATTCCTGGACTCCATTTTTAGAGCGCCAAATTCAAAGTTCATTTCAATGGTTTTGCTAAAAATAAGATTTCCAGGTGATTCTGATATGGGTAGTCAAGGGACCCCATTTTGAGAGTATTGGGCAGGGTGTTCAGGCTGCACATGGTGGAGCAATGGGCTCTGGGTCAAATGGATGCACAAAGTTTGTATATGTTTGAGTCCTTCTGGAGGTGGTTTCTATAAATTTCATTTTGCCCACAGAGACTACAAGAGCATATATGGCAATATTAAGAATTTGTCCTGGGGCTGGGGATGTGGCTCAAGCGGTAGCACTCTCACCTGGCATGCATGTGGCCCGGGTTCAATCCTTAGCACCACATACAAACAAAGATGTTGTGTCCGCCGATAACTAAAAAATAAAATACTAAAAATTCTCTCTCTCTCTCTCCCTCTTTCCCTCTCTTTAAAAAAAATCTCTCTCTCTCTCTCTCTCTCTCTCTCTCTCTCTCTCTCTCTCTCTCTCTCTCTCTCAGAAAAAAATAATAATAATAATTTGTCCTCATAGTAAAAGGACTTTTGATTGAGTGAATTACCTAGAGGATTTCCAGACTCATGAGTGACAAGGAGAGAAGAGTAGCAGAGTTATAGTGGTTAGGCTAATCTCCTATTTTAGAAGCCAAGGTAGGGAAATATTTTGTTATGAATAAGTTAGCCATGGAAGTAATTTCATTTATGATGCGGGAAAAATTCCAAGGAACATGGCAGGAAGGCTTGAATTAATTAATTAATGCAATTCTGGAATTTGAGCCCAGGACCTCGTATGTGCCAGGCAAGGCTGTACCACTGAGCTATATCTTCAGCTTTTTTTTTTAATTATTAAATTTTTTAAAAAAATTTAGAGACAGGGTCTCACTAAGTTGCCCAGGCTAGCCTCAAATTTACAATTTTATCTCAGCTTCTTAAGTAGCTGAGATTATAGGTATGTACTACTACACCTGCTTTGGCTTAGAATTTTGAATGAAAATTTGGCAGGAGGTTGAATCTGGGTATACATCATGTGACCCTGAAGAATGATCATCTGTAAAATGGAGATGATAATGAAACTTTATAGGGTTGCTGTAAGATTCAGTTAGCAAAGTGCTTGAAATGGTACCTGGCATCTGCTAAGTACTCTGCCAATGGTAGCTAGCTAGCACCAGCTAACTTGAATTGTTAAGTGTACAACTATAAGTAGATGGGTATTCCATTTTAGAAAATACCCATTATTGCTAGGCATGGTGGCACACACCTGCAATCCCAGCAGCTCAGGAGGCTGAGGCAGGAGGATCTCAGGTTCAAAGACACCCTCAGCAACAGGGAGACTAAACAACTCAGTGAGACTCTTTCTCTAAATAAAATACAAAACAGGGCTGAGGATGTGGCTCAGTGGTTGAGTTCAATTCCCAGTAATCACCCCCTCCCCCGAAAAATCATATTTTTTAGCTGTTGGAATATAAGAATTATATGAATATTATGATTTTTCCATCAATAGGAGATGAAATTTGACTGTTTGAAACATAGAATATGATACTTTAGTATACACTTCAAACTTTGATAGATTAAGATGATTAAATAAAAAAGAAAGCAATAAGATTTGGAGTTATGAGACATGTTGTGATGGTACCCTCCTGTAGTCCCACCTACTTGAGTGCTGAGGTAGGAGGATTTCACTTTCAAGGTCAACCTGGGCAACATTCATAAATACATAAATAAATAGATAAAAAAAAATCAGGCTTGGGATGTAGCTCAATAGTAGAGTTCTTCCCTAGCATATGCAAGGTTCAGGGCTCAGTCCCCAGTACTAGATTTAAAAAATAAATTTGGAGCTATGAAATTTTATTTATCATGCATTTTTTAACCCTCACCCAGTGACCTAATACATTTTAAATTCTGTATTACAATCTATTACTCAGTGAAAATTAATTTAGTATTTGGAAAACAGCATTACCTATAATTTAAGTAAAAATCAAAATGTACTGAACAATTTTTTTGTCTTACATGATTTAATTGGATAAGTCTTAATGTATTTTGTATCATTGAAGTGGTAGACTATCTGTCTTGTTAGAGTTAGAATTGTATAGCAACAGTATTGTCCTGACTCCTCTCTGGTTCACTGGTTACTAATTCTGTATCCTTGGGAAAGCTATTAACTGTACTTCATACATCGTCCTGTTGTAAAGTTTTGTTTAATCTAGAAATTCTTGCTAGCATTTTAAAGACTTTTTAAAAACTTTCTTTTTAATAAACTCAGATGTGATAAACAAATGCTGATAGTGCCTGTTACTCTGAAATATGTAAGAAAAATAGTGTGCTAATTGGGGACTACCATTTATAATCAGTAACTGAACTCTAAAGGTAAATAATGGTAAATACTTTATACTCTGATAGCTAAAATTTTAAAATTACTTTCTATTTCTCAAGGATAGCATGAAATCCATGTAGAATATTATACAGTTTTTAAACCTAAGAATCTTGATGAGATGTTTCAAGGATGAGAAATTTAATTCTTTGTCTAAGACTTTGAGAAAATTTATGTATTTGGATATTCATTTAATACTCATAAAATAAATAGTTAAGAAATGTCAGTATACTTTGCATCTGATTGTCTGATAAGACATTGGACTTGTGATATAAATTTAAGTCATATTTTATCCTGAGACAATTATTACTGATTCAATGCAAAACTATTAAAAATAAAAGAAATACAGCCCAGTGCAGTGGCGTCTGCCTATGATCCCAGCAACTTGGGAGGCTGAAACAGGAGGGTCGCAAGTTCAAGGCCAGCCTCAGCAACTTAGTTAGGGAGACCCTGTCTCAAAATAACAAATAAAAAGAACTGGGGATTAGCTCAGTGGCAGAATGCCCCTGGGTTTAATCCCCATGTTGAAGAAAAAAAAAAAAAAAGAAAATGTAATTTGGGTTGTTGTAAAAATCCTTGAAGTTCAAGCTTAAATTTTTTCTCTTTCACTTGCTGTCAGTTTGACTTTTGCAATGTCCTGTTGTCAGCTTTCTTTCTCTTTCTTTCTCCCCCCACCTCCCGCCTTTGGTACTGAGGATTGAACCTGAGTGGTTAACCACTGAGTCACACCCCCAGCCTTTTTTATATTTTATTTAGAGACAGGGTCTTTTTTTTTTAACCAAACGATTTATTTTTATTTTTATTTATTTATTTTTTTAGTCATACATGACAGCAGAATGTAGTTTGACATATAATACATACATGGAGTGTATATACATCAATCATATTGTGTATTCTATTCTGCTGCCCTTCCTATCCTCCCTACTCCTCCCCTCCTCTCCCATCCTTTCTCTCTATTCAATCTAATGTGACACACTTTTTTTTTTCTCAACACAACATCATATATGTATTCTGTATAACAATGAGGTTCTCCTTCCATCTTCTGTGCAACTCCCCTTCTCCCTCTTTTTCCCTCCCATCTCTCTTCCCTATTTAGTGGTAGTCATCTTCTCATGCTCTTCCTCCCTATCCCATTTTGAGTCACCCCCACTTATATCAGAGAAGACATTCGGCATTTGTTTTTTAGGAATTGGCTAACTTCACTTAGCAT